CTTATACCAGTGAATTACTACACAACTCTATGGCAATCTCGCGTCAAAACATTATTAACACAAAGGTACGTACAACTCGAGTGATAAAATTTATACAATATGCACACTTTGCGTGATATGTAAACGTTAGAATTTAAATCGTTTAAAATTATTTTAATTACAAAATTATATCACTTAAATATTCATCATCATTGCACTTAAGTGGCGAGCACCATATTACATGTGAGTATCGTCGAAATAACACTTTCTGAATCAAATACATCTTTATGCACTTGAGGGGATGCTGGAGTGATTCTACACTTTTGCACCTTTTGCACTTAAAACTGTCTGTTTCGTGGAAACATTTGTGTAATATACAAATTAAATGGCTCACGTGTACAGATCGAAAGCAGCTTGCTATTCCGGCTAAATTAAAGAACAATATGACATCACTGAAACTAAGTTTGTAAGTCTAATAAAAATTAATAGCGAGCAACACACATACCACATGTACTGTATGTGTGTGTTGCTCACTATTATTTCTTATTAGACTTACAAACTTATTGTTAGTTTCAGTGATACCATATTATTTTTTCATTTAACCGGAATCGCAAGCTGCTTTCGATCTATACACGTAAGTCATTTAATTTGTATATTACACAAGTGTTTCCGCGAACTGATAGTTTCTAGGTTAGAAAGGTGCAAAAGTGCAGAATCACTCCAGCATCCCCTTAAGGAGATACTTAAGTGATTCTGCACTTTTTGCACCTTTTAATTCTGTCAATTTATGAAAACGTTTGTGTAATATACAAATTATGTGGCTATTGTGTACAGGCCGACAGTGTAGCACTAATCGGACTAAATCAGAGAACAGCATGTTATCATTGAAATTGAGTTTATACTTACAAACTTAACAAAAAAAGCTATTCCTTCGAATAAGTTGTTGGTTAAGTAACGTAGTTTATAGATTAGGTTAGGTTACCTAACCTATAACTTATTCGAGTGAATAGCTTTTTGTCAGGTTTTTAAGCATAAACTTAATTTCAATAATAATATGCTGTTCTCTGATTTAGTGGCACCCTGTCGGTCTGTACATATAGCCACATAATTTGTATATTACATAAATGTTTTCATGAATTGACAGAAATAAAAGGTGCAAAAAGTGCAAAGGGTGCAGGTTCACTCCAAAATCCCCTTAATGTTCGTCATTTATGCACCACGGATGGACGATAAGATCTCTCGAGCTTCTCCGACTTTTTCTAGTTATCCTTTACATGATAATTATCTAATGAATCTGGAAAGTACAGGCGGTTAGGTAACCCGAGGCCGGGCCGCTATGCGAGGAGACAAGCTTGTAATTTCAATTTCACGCGGTCCGGAAGACCACAAAGTGCCCTCGGGTCAACACGCGTCACGTCACGTAATTTCATGAATCTCAGCGATGATGACGATGTCGCTCCCTTTCGCGTCGCGGCGCAAAGCGCAAACCGAGTCAAAGGCGACCCCGCGTCTGTCAAGATCAGAGGTCGGCGCTGGAGCACACGCTATTCGAAAATGCCCCCGAGCCCACGTCGCGCTAAAACAACCCGTGTGTGCGTCGTCGCGAGAAATACCTGAAAATTAAACTTCCAGTGCACGTAGAGCAATGCGAAAAAGGGATTTAAAGTCTTCCTTCTGAGAGTCTTTCTTTTCCAGAAAGGATTTAATTCACAGAATCCTATTAATTAGCCCATTTCGCGGAATTTCATTATCAGTTCTACATTTATCAAATGATTAACTCGTGCTTCTGTAAAGTGTGCTTCAAAATGAGAACCGAGGAGGCAAAATTCCGTTTGGTCTCGTGTACAGTGCGTCTTTTCGTTCCATCCTCCTATACAATTATTATAACAGTATTGATAAAAGATTTATAGTAAATTAAAGTTAATTGAAGTTAACGCACAACGTGAGGAAATAATAAGCGAGGCATCATTTTTCTTCGTGTAGAACAGTCATCGATTTCACAAGATAATCTCAAGACATTATTATTTGTGCAACAATCAAAAGTATAGCGTAAAGTCGTCCGGTTATAGTTAGTGCGTGATTTGCTGCGTATTTGTCACATACCACGTCGTACATTGCATTAAATTACTTGCTTAAAGCTCCGGTGTAAGGTGTGACACGGCAGACTGCGCGAGTCCGTGAATGCAATCCTGAATACTAGCAACTAGTACAAGAGCAAGGTGGACACCGATGGCACCAACGGGTCTCGCACGTGTTCAAAGGCGAGACTTTTATGTCCACCCGCGCCCACACCCGCACCCGCACCCGCACCCGCACGGAGGTGATCTCGAACAGCGCCGGGACTGTTGTAACCTGGTTGGTGGCGGCCAGAAGCCGTTTATAACAAAGATGCCCGCGGGCAGTTCTCTGTGATCTCCACGAGATGATTGTGCTAGCTTCGGTGTTGGCGTCCACACAGGGTGGGGTCTGCTCTTCAGCGTTACCACCGTGCGGGCAGGCGTCTCTACACAGCCCCCGGGGCTTGCTCCCCCCCCCCCCTCCTCTCTCTCTCTCTCTCTCTCTCTCTCTCTCTCTATCTATCTATCTAACTATCTCTCTCATTCCCTCGTCCTCTCTGTCGCCCGTTCGCTCTCCGTCGACGACAAAGGGGCCGCGGTTCAACGCGCCACAAAGCACCCGGGACGCCACCTACACCCACACCAACACCCACATTCTCGCATCCTCTACGCGTCTGCACGCACAAAGCTTACTCGACAAGCTGGAGCGTCGCGACGCGTGAACTTGTACCCAGCGGCGCCGCGACCCACCCTTTAGGTATACGTAGCGTCTAGCGAACCGAGAACGGGAAAAAAGAAAACCTCCTCTCAGCTAGAGGGGCTTTTACGAAAAAGAACGGGGGGCACGCATGGTGTAGCGGGTTGTGAAATTTTAGAGAATTACTCCAGGTGCGTTTGACATTAACACGGCGGAAAATTAATCGAAGAAATACAAGAGAGTTAGAGATCAGTCGATTATCAGTGGTTATTAAAACAGGACTAGAATAGGACTCGTTGTGTTAAAAAACCGGGATTCTCCGCGACCTAACGTGATGTTGATGCTTTTACTTTTGTATTAATACAAGAAATTACATATACACGTACACATATACATAGTATTATGTAACACCCGTCTCACCTCTTATTACGGATAGAACAGACTAGACTGAGTTGAAAAGTCCTCTACTATTTTGCAATTTTGCAATAGTTAACGAGTTATTAATTATTAAAAATCCCTGTCTTAGCCCGGCCTTTCGTCCAATTCAAGCGCGCGACGAGATGCGTCCGTCCCGCGATTGGTGTTGCTAGGCGCGCGGGGAGTTGTTTATGACACATGGCAACGGCTACGTATAATAAACAATTTTCCGCGCGCCTAGCAATGCCAATCGCGGGATAGCCGCATCTCACCACGAGTTTGAATTGGGCGGTAGACCGGGCTAAGACAGCGATTCTTAACAATTAATAATTCGTTAACTTTTGCGAAAATTGCAAAATGGTACAGGACTTTTCGACTCAGTCTAGTCCGCTCTATCCGTAAATAAGAGGTGAGGCGGGTATTACACGACACCCTGTATATATAATTAAACGAGTTCAGATTTATTATACGTAAGGTGCGCTTGGGTAATTTGTAATAATTTTATCTTTGTGACTTTGTGACGGACTTTTTCAAAAAAGGCATGAGTGGCGCAGAAAATGTCCGAGCATAAAGTCTGAAATCCGAAGATTAAGAAAGAGACTAACAATAGATACCGTGCACCTTTCTCTTTCTAAGGAGAAGGGAGTGGGGGGCGTAAAAAAAGTGGGGAGACAACTGAGCGTGTGATAGTTTGTACAGTGATGGACGTAATGATTGCGACACTTTTTTTACTGAATTTAGAAACACGCATTTAGATTCAGGGCTACGTATGTACAAAAACCTTCTTCTCCAAGGAATATTTTACTCGATGGCCACTCCGAAACCATTTTGAGCATTTCCGATCTATTTCTCGAGTAAAATGTTTTCTGACAAAATATTTTGGAACGTAAATCTAAATCTAAATGCGAGTTCAAAATGTTGCAACCATTCTGCCTAACGCTGTAAACATGTTCATACATATTTGTATATGTCACACCACGTCCATACCTTACTGTGCACACACGATATCTACTATCTATCCTTTTCTACCTGGGGCTCGATTATGAATCTGTTTTTCTAGCGTAAACTCGTGAAAAGTTAAAAATTTCATTCAAGAATTCAACATTTGTCAACGAAAATTTTCACTTTTCACGAGTTCACGCTCGAGGAAAAGATTCACGATTGAGTCTCTGATCTTCATTGCCTACAAGAGGATACACTCGGTCTATTCCTTTTGCGGTCGATGATTCTAAAACTATTACGTGACCTAAAACTGGAAGCCACGTGCAATTTGTAAAAACCTGCAGCGGGTTGCCACAGAATTCTGTCATTGAAATAAGAATAAAAAAGAGAAAAAAATTACCTTACAATATCACGCTTGTAATTACTTATAAATACAAATCGTAAAGTCATCTGCCTGCCTGTGAATATCAAATGACGTCAGCGGCAGTCAATTATATCCTTGTTATTCGATGAACAACGAGGATAAAATGATACGCTGGGGCATTCGGGCGATGTTTCCAAACGCAGCCTTGCAGATTTTTTAATTGCGTAAAATTACATCAACGGCTGCGAATGCGTTAATAATATTAAGATGTTTTTGCAATTGCAAATAGCAAGAAGTGGTGCGTTACAATCTCGAGGTTCTACAATCATATTTCTTGGCGAGTAGTCCAACTACTGATGCTACCTGAATTAAACATGCTAAAAGTGTTCTTGTTATTTCACACTAAAATCCAATTTACGTCCTTCGCGCAGAGCGATACTAGATAGATTTTCCGTAATGAGTTAACACAATCTTGTCTCTGTATATCCTCCTCTCGATATTGCTGGATCTTCGTTACACAGACTCACAATCAGACGAGACTCACCCTGGCCAGGTGCCGGCGACGTGGCGTGGCTCCAGCCTCCCTTGTAAGAGCTGCCGGCATCTGAAAGCGGAGGAAACATTTCTCAACCATTTTCTTCGCATTCGAGTTGCAAAAGTTCTCAATTTGCGCGCGGTTGGAAATCTACGGCTTATCGATCCGTGCAGATATTTCGTGATCCGGCCGAATTGCGATTACATTTTTTGAGGTCACGTCGGTAGCGCGCGGGCGAATATATCGTCCGCAATTACCGGTTAATCGGTTCGAGGAATCACGAGAGGCCGTAAAGTATATCTGATTGAAAGTGCTTCGAGCTGTCGTGGCGGCTTCGGCAGGGGAGGAAAAAAAACGCGATTCTTCTGCTTCGCGAAATCTTTACGACGGCTCTGATCGCTCCTACGTGAGCGCAGCGCAAGACGTGCGCGAGAGAGTCCATGCGTGCGTTGCGGATGCATATATCGTCTTTGAAATCGATTCTCGATACGCGGATTTGACAACGAGAGACGTAGCTGAGCTATTTGCGTTCACAGTTGCAGATGTCGACGAGAAATTTTTGTCTGTTATATTAAAATTCTAACTGTTCGAGTTTCTTCCAAAATACATATGTCAGAAAAAGGTGAGAAGACGTGCAAAGCATGCCAATCAGGATCAGATCTCTCTTAGGTTCCAAATTAGACGTTAAAATCGAACTGAAGTTTGTTCTTGTGCATCTTAATAACTTTTTAGTTGCAAGAATCGAAGATGAACAGTTTTAACAAGTTAAATTACGATTTCTACAAATTTTATTGTTGAAAAATAATATCTGGGCTGTGTCTAGAACAATACCTTTTGTATAAGAAATATCGAAAACACGCAATTATAGTTCAGAATAAAGCCCGTAAAGAGACGTAAAGTTGAAGATAAATGTCACCTTTTAATCGCGTATAAAACCAAATCAGCTGGGGGTTAAATTGCTGAGGGCATTGTGGTGTACAAATTTGCGGCTTTACCGAGCATTACTTGGCATTTCTACGTTGGGGCATTACAAAGTTCAAATAAGATAAAACAAGATAAAACAAAATAAATAAGATACTAATAGACATTGGTGTACATGATTTCGGTTAGCGGTTTACCCCTCGAAATCAACATTGTAACGCGTAAATCATTTTTCTTGTTACGATATTTCTCCATTTAAGGGGATCCTTTAGCCATCTTTTTACCGACACAGTCAAATATAGTTTTTGCGCCTATAATTCTTTTTATTAGCTTTTACGCACAAAAAAATACCGGGATAAGTTGCGGACCGCATAGTAGAACATTTTCATACTTAAAACGCTCAGTTCAGAAGTCTAATAAAAAAAGATACTGGCATTTGAATGTTTTAATTCGTAGTTCTAACTAAATTTGAAATTAACTTTATAAAATTGCGAAATTCTTCCACACGAATAACGTACGTGTAAAGACAAAACCAGGGACAGTCGACTTTATATAAAACAAAGAAGAGAAATTAAAAATATCACTTTATAAATGATTGAGGTTAGCTAACCTCAATCACGTACGACTGTCCCTGGTTTAGTCATTACGCGTACTTTAATCGCATGGAAGAATTTTGCAATTTTATGATTTCAAATTTAGTTAGAACTACGAATTGAAACTTTTAAATACCAATATCTTTTTTATTAGACTTCTGAGCTGAATATTTTAAGTATGAAAACGTTTTGCCGCGCAGTCCGCAACTTATCCTGGTATTATTTTGTGCATAAAAGCTAATAAAAAAAATTACAAGCTCAAAAACTATATTTAACTGTGTCGGTAGAAAAGATGGCCGAGGGATCCGTTTAATTTATAACTTGTTTGACCCTTAAGGATGTATCGGACCTATCTTCAAAATAGTACAAAGTCGCTAAAAATTTGTGAAATTGTTCTTTTAGTCTTCCTGATTTATTGCAGAAAAGAAAAAATGCATCCACTAAACGGTTGATGAGATATAACTATTTTAATTTACACTGATTTTACACGTACTCTTATGGGAAAAGTCGATCTTCACGGATAAAACAGCTAAAAAAATGTAGAAGAAATAGTACCAGTGTTTTGAATTTTTTATACATCTAGTATACGAATAGATGAAAATATCTACCAAGTTTCAATAGTCTTTACTGCATCGTTTTAAAGAAATAAAATATAATAAAATATAATTTGAGATATTCGTGCTGTCGGCACGAATTTTTTAGTTTTGAAAATATTTGACGTTATTAAGAATTGAAATCAGAGTATTTTCACTATCAAAAGTTTAGGCTCATAAGTGAAAAAAATCGCAAATAATTCAGGAAAAAACATTTGTAAAGTGAAAAAACCTTTGTAGGAGTACAAATAAGACTCCAACTATCGTTCAAGTTTCTTACATCTAGATTTACTATGCGTTAAGAGTAGATATTTAAGTATTTCCAATTTCATGCACTTTTGTCTAAGATTGTACGTCCAATACATCCTTAAAAACGATTTTGCCTAAATTTTCTTCTTTTCGGATCCGCTCGATCGACGGTCGCCGATCTAGTGGTTCGCTCGGTCGAGCAATATCCGTACGGGACATATGTCGGTTGAACAAATATGGAATTATTTGTAACACGTGCGCGAAAAGATGTTGTTCGCGACAGCGACGGCGGTGTTATATTCGCCACGCAAGAGTTCTCTCGAGAGCTCCCGGCGCCGAGCGAGCGTACGCGCGTCGCCGTCGCCGTCGGTGGCATGTTTGCGAACAGATATATTTTCATTTCGCAGTTATTGGCACAAAGGGTCGGCCCTCGTGTGTACATACGTAGGTACGTCACGCCGTGCGGCAGAAACTCCGACTTTCCGAGCAAACAAAACGACCTACGCGCGGCGCTCACCACTGCTCGATCTTTCGTCTTTACTGCCCCCCCTTCATTTGATCTGGAGACCCCGGAGTCCATTAATGGATCCTCGGATTTCACGTTTCTCAAGTGCCGAGGGGTGTGCCGATCGTTCGGTAATGCGCGCCGGATTTTCTTGGGGTTTCTCGCGAAACGGTGTCGTCAGATACGAACTACGTATCCGCGAAATCCGCGTGAGTTCTTCCTTTTCTCAAGAGGAACGTAGACGGGCCGAAAAGCGGCAATTCCGACAAATTGCCGAATGTTACGACTGGCATTTTGCGATAAACACTTCAATGGTGCAACTGCCAAGTGGCATAGACATTAAATCGAGATATGCCTGGTTTGAATTATATTATTTATTAACGTAAAATTTGTCAGGACATAAATTTACAGTTTTATTTTAAAATTCGTTACTTTTCCTAAATCATCTGACATTAGTACACTCAATACAAGTAGCATTAACGTACCAAACAAATTCAACGATAATGAAATTCAACGACAAACGAATGGCGAACGAACGTTTTCGTTTTATCTTTATGGATTGCAGCTTGTCCTTCGACGGAAATGTGGCACATGGTGCAAAGATAATGCAAATTTGATGAAACAAATCGTCGACGGTTGCGTAATAGAAATTACTTTTATAGAGAAGATAGAAATGTTTTTTTAACAAAATATTAACAAACGATTATATTATATAATTCTTAATTGGACGACGGGGTTATACTTGGCGCCTTTTTGTAAAAGGGGTTATTTTTGTAAGTTGTCAATACGTCGAAGGTTGCGTAATGGAAATTACTTTTATAGGGAAGACACTTTTATGGAGAAGATAGAAATTTGGCTTGCAACAAAATGTATCCAAATGTTTATAAATCTTAATTGGATGGCGCTTATACTTGGCGCCTTTTTTTACCTTTCTTTAAAAAAGAGTTACTTTTAAAAATCGTCGATACGTCGACGGTTAAGTAATAGAAGTATCCTACTCGTTGTCGGAATAAAATGCTTAAACGAGATTCTGACGTGGTAATATTCTGCTTGGTTAGTCGAACTAATTAGCCAAACGTTTACTTCTATCTGTCACTTTCGCGAGTCACGTGGTCACTAAAAATCACTTATACGGCATTATACCAGCAATCTATCACGTCTTAGTCCTTTGACGGACTGCAATTAAAGAATCGACTGCTGGAGGATTCAATATAAAGATTCCAATCAAAGATACATGTATAATTCTAATACAAAGTTAGACGATGATGGAGAATTTAACAATACTTTCGCGAGATAATACAAAATGGAAAGTTGAGAAAGATTTACATTAAATATAGACTACACTGAACTTTTTAATTGCCTTTTGACAATGTAGCAAACGATTTCGTTTAAACACTTCATTTTGTTCCAACAGAATCAACGTTTATTTATCGCGGATAAACGCGCTTGTACACGCATTTTCTATCGATCACGAGACACGCAAAGAGTCACACGGCCAGACCTTTAATCCTATCTGGTCATCTGTCCCGTGTCACTCGTACCTACTTGCAAAATGATATATATATATATATATATATATATATATATATATATACGTAATTAAATATCATAACGAATACCCATTGGTTCGCGATGTTTCACGCATAAAAAGACCAGGCGCTCATATCAAGTATAAAATCGCGATATCCCATTCCCCGTTGCGGCACGAAAAGACTTTTAGAAGCACTCGCGCGTACGACACAGGGTTAAACGTGTAGCTCGCGACGGGCACATTTGGAACACGGGATTTTGCAGGCAGGTGGACATGTGCGTAACCGAGCGCGTGGAACCGCGATTCATCACCTCCACTACCGAACATATGGCGCGCTAGTAAAACGATTCCGCGCGCACAATCGAGAGCGGGGCGAAGCCAGGTCGAACGTACCGGCGAACAGCATCGATAGATTGGTGAACGCCGTGGTGCGTGGTAGCTCCGCCGCGGTGGTACCGCTGCTCTTGAGGTCCAGCATCGCGCGATGCGGTCTGTCCCGCGTCGCGACCCGCGCTCCAGCTGCTTCCCCCTGCGGCGCGGCGGTACCTTGACGCGACCTCCAGCTGGCCGCCCTTATCGCGGCACGGTCGTCGACTCGCGGATTAGCTGCTGCGGCACGCGGCGCGACGACGTGGCCAGAAACGTGATCATATCAGCAACGGGCGCCTCAACGAGCG